TATGGCAGGGCAAGTTCACAGATAATTATCGTCCAACAGCATAGATAGGATTTTCCTTCTCATGAGGATGAATAATATTCGATTTCAAGCATTTTGCATGGCATGATGTTGCTTTTTAGCAAGTGTTTTTTCAGACGATCATACAGGGTAACCATTCCTTTTTATTTAGACTTTAAATAACTCGAGCTAAACAAGAGTTGCGATAGTTTTATCTCTTTTGAGTAACAAAAATTGTCTCGGTGTCGACCAATCAGATTCGCACAATTCTACTCATGTAGCTAATTTCCTTGGAAAATCAGACTGAGGAATTAGGATACAAATGACTAATCACGTGAATCCCGAGCTGTACCCTTATTGGCTTCAAGCAGTTTCACCTTCCCAATGATGCCAGAGTGATAGTCATCAAATAATTATACTCATTGCCTAACTTTTTCCCCAATAATTCCAATTAAGCTAACTGACAAAGCAATCATTATATACCTCACTTGATTACTCCAGATGATTATATGCTCTTTGCCTCATAGAAAATATGAAACAATTAATTTTACTGGTTGGCTGGCTTACTGAATGAATGGCCTACAGGTTGATTCTAGAATATTTACGTGAGCATTTAACCATAGATAGTGTGTGTTTAATACAATTAAGCATCGAATCCAGCCTCCCTGAAGCACCTATGTTCATCTTCCCTCATCTAGGCCACCCCACCGCATACTACCTCACAATGGACCTTTTGCATTAATTATCTTCATAAATCATCTTCCAACGTCTTGTCTTCGATGGCTATGGTTGTTCGTCAGCCAAGGTAGACAAGTCTGAGTTTTAATAGCCTGAAACAAAACGAGTTACTGCTCTGCCATATGTGGTCCATTATGTATCCTCGGTGCAGTTTTTCATCCATCTGTCTGTAGGCCTATTTTGTATTAGGCCATATTTACCTATTTGCATCCATTTATCTGAGCATAAGTATATGCTTCTGTAATCCTCCATTATATTTGCGCATATTATTTCTTTTGCCCATACCTAAGACGTTGCCTCTCTCCTCCTCGACAAAGCCTCAACTTGACTGATTTTTTAATCACCAGCCTTCGTCCATTTTTGTGAAGCGGTCACGCATACCCTTGCTCGTCATGCATGACTTGCATCAGTCCCATCAGCATCAGCCCCACTAATTAGCAATACTGCATGCGTTAGTTCCGCTTAAGTCGGATGCGTGCGAGGCAAGGTGTCGGCCGAAATGCATTGTGCCTCAGCAGCGTCGTGGTCGTGTGGAGATAGATCAAGCGGAAATTAAGCCTCACAGGAGCTGCCTGGCCGCAAGTCAACATGTCTTCTCCGAATAGAATCGTAATTTGAGCAACCGATGGAGCGTGATTGCAGCCTAATTGGTATAATTGGTATATCATTTCACGGCCGCAACATGCAGATCTCCCCGTGATAAGGCTCTGGTTTGAAAAGCCTTTACTCAAAGAGCGTTCCATGAAGTTAGGTGGTAATAGTGGTAAAGGATAAATTGGGGAGGATATTCGAGGGCTAGTAGAAAATGAAATTGTATATTTAAAAAAATCTTATAACAAATAATGTATTACAAGTATTAGATGGCCCAGGCCCCTGGCATGCTTTATAATCTGGGATAAGTCGTTTTCTTCCGGTCGCACGACCTGGTTTAGTCGTTAGCATGCATGTTCCATCAGACAAAGAGGGCTGTAATCTCAATCATCTATTTCTCCCAATCATTTACGCGCTTGGTTAAAAGTTAATCATATTGTATTTACAATCTGACTGGTTTAGCTATTGTTGAGCTTACTTCCATTTCGAAGGGAAGTGTTGGGTAAAGAGATTCGAAGGTCGGTTCCACCAGAAAGGAAAGGGGGAGATAGGGGTCATCAAACCTTGATGGCCAAAAACAGACGTTCCTTTATGCTGTCCTAATTACTTTGAGCCATCATTTCGGGTCTCGTGCATAAGCTAACACAAACATGCACATACAAATACAGAGACAGACACATTCACATGCATAGAAGTTGACATGACCTTAACTAACCAAATCACTTTATACTTGATCAAAGAGGCCAG